GGGCCGCGGCGCCTCCGCCCGCTCCGCCGCGTTCCCCTGCGCTCCCCTACGCTCCCCTACGCTCCCCTGCGCTGCTCTGCGCTCCCCTGCGCTCCCCTGCGCTCCTCTGCGCTGCTCTGCGCTGCTCTGCGCTCCCCTGGCTGCTCTGCGCTCCCCTGCGCTCCCCTGCGCTCCGCGGAGGGACGCGATGGGGGGACTCGAGGAGAGGAGCGGGGCGGGAGGGCGGCGCGGAGCCCCCCGCGCAGGGCGCCTGAGAGCCCGCGGGCCCGGCCAGCGCCAGCGTTTAGGATCTGGGCCCCGAACTTGGAGCTCGGTATCCATTTATTGGTGCTTAGAGTGGATTTAGAGGCCACGTCAGGCAGGATGGAGTTTGGATGAAGTTAAAGCAAACTGTCTTTCGAATAATAAGGTTCTAAATAGGTGTTTGGTCAGCTAAGCTAAAAAGAAATAAGTTTCCCTTTTCTCTGGGAAAATCTTGTGAAACCAGTGGTAAAACTCACCCCCAAAGTCGTAAATGTTTAAGGTCTGGTGAGAGTAATAAAAGTAATCCCCAAATACAGCCATGGGTGAGATGCCAGCTGTTAACTCAATGCGCTGCTTTCTTCCATTCCTTTGCAGGCTTGAGATGAGCTTTACTGATGAACCAACACAATATTAATAGTCTAATAAATCAGCTAAATAAACTAATAATCACATCGCTATTGTTAATTTACAGTACTGTGATTCCTCACACTGCTCTGATGCTTACTACGTTAGGTTTTATCATTCCTCAGGCTTATGAGTTGCACACAGCTGAATTCCAGGTCTGTCACATCTCTCTAAGCAACTGAACTGTGCTTGTTATTAGGGTACAACTCTGCCCCTCCTCACGCTGACCTCTCGCACCAAGTGTTTTGGACATCGACCTGAGGGCAAGTCCTGTGGGTTGTCCAAGAGGAATCCCTCCAGCATCCTGGTGGGCTTGGATCTGCAGGTCAGCCCTGAGGCAGCCCCTAGGGATCTGCACTCCTGCTGTTGGAAATCTACTGCTGTTTACTAATTTTGTAGATTTCTGTTTTCTGTCTCTGTTTCACCATGTTCCCCTTTTCTGACAAACCTCCTCTGAGATAAATAACCTGCTCCTATTTTTTTTCCCTTGTTTCTTGATTTTGCCTCATCTGTAATTTAGTGGGTTTGATACTGTTAGCAAGGCAATTTGGGCTTTGCTACTGCTATGGTTACCTAGGTAGTACCTTGGTGTTGCCCAAAGGTCCCCCAAATTCCCCTTCAGTTTTCTGGTTCATCCTGGGTAGAGATTGCTTATCTCGCAGCATCTCTGAGACCTGTTATTCTACTGCAGCCTCTGTTCCTTAACCTAGTTCCTATTAAGTGCTTTACCCTATGTGCAAACAAACGTCTTTGCAAAGACGTATCCTGTTACATGTTTTTGCCACTATGATTTTATACTCACACAGCATCTTGGTCTTAAGTGCTTAATTACAGATCATGACTTTGACATGTTGTTTTGGTCAAGCTTCTGGTTTGCTGCAGGTCTTGTCTCATGAGGCCTGGTGCTCCAGCAGCGCCTCTTGTTCACAGATGCTAACCTGATTTTGTGTCGCCAGGAGCCCAAACAGCAAAAACATCTGTTCTACTAAGAGTGTGTTGTGATACCTCCATCCAAGAAAGCAAAGGCAAAGCAAGCATTAGAACAAGAAGTCCTTACCCAGTGAAGTGCTGTTGTATGAGGTGCTGTATAAACATGGTAAGAAGTACAAAGTTATTTGTTTCAAATTATGACCCAGTGAGAGACAGAGACTGATGTCTTGACACTTAATGAGAGAGTAAAATACTTTGAAAATAAGGAAAAGTTTCTTGTGAATGAAATCAGATATTGTCATTATAATAAAACACAAGGAATGACAGCTAATCTTCAGCTATTAATAAACTCAATCTACTTTAGTCCAGAAAACCTTTGCAGAGACATTTAGGAAACTCATCTTGTATATGGTGATTTCACACATGATTTGACTCAATACTTCTTAATGGGATACAACAGATAGCCCTGGAATGTGTGGCCCACAAGCTTCCACTGCGCGTAAGAAGTTGAACAAGAATGCAATAATGTTCCGAGAGCTTGCTGAAATTTTGAGTCATTGCAGAATGTATAAGAGTACAGGCTACATAAATCATGGAGTGGAAAAATATTTTTATACTATGATTTAGAAATAATTATGGAGAATTATGTTGAAAGTAATGCCAAATTTCCTGCTCATTGCCTCTAAGCAAGTTTCCAGTAAAACATACTAAAGATGATGACATCTCACAAGTGGCAATTTCTACCAATGGCATCTTATAAAAGGACATTTAGCTTTTTCAGAGGCTGAAGATGAGACGCCTGAAATATCCAATTGGCGATGTTTTCCAGTATTCTTCCAGAACATAAGGAACTAGCAGATTTCATGAATAAGTCTGTTTATTTTGTGAAACTGATTTTAGAAATAGTCACACCAGAAATCTCGGTGGATCTTTTGCCAAAATGAGTGTCCTTCTGTCTTAAATGAATGTGAGTGAATTCTCACACTGTTATATTGAAAAACAGTATAACACTCCAGCAATTGTTGGCAGCAGTGAAGTGAATTGTGTGTCACTGCTGGATAAAAATTGTGATATGCCCCGGTCTGTATCAACTTCAAGCACAGACGTTGAGATAGAATTTATACAGTAATGTTTAGGAATTGCTTCGGCCATTGGTCAGGAGACCAGTTTTTCTGAGTTGGAATTTAGCATTTTATCAATTAGTTTATCCTAGGTATATTTGTAAAATGCCAATGGAATATTTTAGCGTAAGAGTTTAACTTGCAATGGATTGGAGATTGTCTCTGAGATTTAATAATTTCTACTTTTTTTTTTTTTTTAATTCCAATGTTTCCCTTCTTCCTGACATTTCACTTCCTTGAGTCTGTGGTTCCCTTCCTGGCTCCTATACCTATCTACTTTTTTTCCTCAAGATTAAGAGACAGTTTCTGGGAACAGTTGTCCTCCAATGCACAAGTCTCCAACACTAAGTTTAGGATATCTTAATTAAAAATCAGTTAGTTTGTCAGAGGGAAAAAAATGACAACATAATTAAAAAAACAGTCCTCCGGCTAATACCTGTAGGCTGGTATAGCCTTCCTTCAGCTATCTTGTCAGTACTGATTAAAGCATATAAGCCTCGTAATAACTTATGCATTTGCTTGCTGTGTTCTTAGTTCTTTAATTGAGCATTCATTGGCCACTGTTAGACCTAGGATGGCCAAGCAGGATGTTTCAGTACAGACACTTGTATGTTTTATGTTCTCATGGTCTTGATCAGCTAAGAAGTGTTCTTTTGCTTAGTTTCTTATTTGCTTCATGGATGCATTTCTCTTTCTGTGCTTTTCTTTATGCAAACAGTGGGTTCAATGGTGAAATGCAAAATGTATCTGGAACATGCTGCTGTACAGACTTTTTGACGTTTCTTATTTTCAGTTGTGTATAATAAGGTATTTTTTTACTTAGTCCTTTTGTTTATATAATTACATTGTCAGACTTGTTTCAGGTTTTCAGACTTGTTTCAGACAGGTTTCAGGTTTTTGCTTTTCTGTAGTAGAACTGTTTTCATGAGTTGGTCCCTCGGTCTAGCCAATGCACATGGTTTCTGGTTTAGCCCTGAAAGCTACTGCCCGGATATTGACAGAGGAAGATATGTTGACACTGTTCTCTGATATCCTAAGTATTTAAAGTATACATTTGTTGCTGTGCAGATTGTGATCTCGGTTGCATGTAGTAAGGACTGGTTCACATGTCAGAGAAGGGATTGTAAAACATCTGCTTCCCATATGTGTGGTCAAGGTTATTCTGAATACTCATTATTATCAGTGAATGGGTCTCCAGTTATTGTGGTAGCACTTTAGAAATACACAGTCCAAGTGTTTTATCAAAGCCTGCTCAATGTTCCTGAGCTGTGTAAACCCATTTTGAACATTGGTGCCTCAAGAGCCCACACCAATCTGCTTGTGTTGCTGGAAATACAGGGAAGAGGAGAAGCTTGGAAGCACACTCATTATCGCTGCTCTCCGTGGGAGTCTGTACTAAGAAACAAAATATTTATTTTGAATTGGAATATAGATGGTGAGGAAAAGAAGCCTTGGAGAAGGGATTTGCTGCTTGTTGTGCCACATCTTCCCTGGTTGCCTCAATGGCAGCAGCACTGGAAGCAGAGCCCGTGGCTCCCAGGGCTCTGGCTCATGCGGATCAGGCAGTGAAGCCAGGCTGTCTTGCCATTCCCCTCAGGCTAGTGCCAGAAGCAATCGAATCTGCCTTTTGCTTTCTGATAACTGTGTTAATACACATATTAATTAAATAGATACTTGTATTATTAACATGGTACATTATTTTAACGAATAAGTAGTTATAAAGAGATTTTATTGCTGAAAAGAGTATGAGTCAACAACAAGAAGTCAGAATTCCGCCTTTTCAATTTCTAACTTACTAAAATGCAAAACAAGTCACTTTATTGCCTGACAAAGTGGCAAGTCACTTTGCTGCCTAAGAGGCAGATTGGAGAGTAGGAAGTTTTTTGTTGTCTCATTCTGTGTGTAGGAAATTTCTCCCGGGTTGTTTAAAATTGAAGTTAGTGAGGCTGGAAGAGCAATGAGATAGAGGAAGCTTATCTGAACAGACTAGATGTCTGCAACACGTCAGGTGCATATCGTTGACTGAAGTTTCTTCATCTTCAGCTTTTTTATACCAAACTCAAGCTGGTCTTTGGGCAGGATTCTTGAGTTACTTCTACACAGTGCTTGAAGGATGTAGCTCTAGATAGGGCATTTTCCTCAGTTGCTTTCTGTATTAGCTAATGCCTCCCTGGGATCCCAAGACCAACTGGCATGGGTTGTCTTATGCCCTCAGTGTAATTACTAGTTCACTACTGGTATTGTGGGAGAGTAGTTGTGTTTGTGCACACCTGGATGTCTCCACAGGGCCTCTTTTGGCACCACTGGGGCTGAAATAATGCAAAGGCATGAAACAACCTCGCAGAGTGTTTGTTATAGCATGAAACTGAGGCTGTATATGTCCAGGGATGTGGTTTAAGAACCTATTAAGATATTTAAGGGACAGAATTTGCTACAATAATGTTAAAGGATTGTAGAGAACGGAGGGAATCAGCTGGAGAGGGGAAGAAGCAAACCTGATGCAATGTCAACTCATTCTCAGAGTCATTCTCAGAGCAAACTGTTCCCAGAATTGTGCCCATACTTCATCTGAGAAAGAACATTTTGGAACTGTCGAGAATCAGAAAGTGCTAAGACAAATAA